GGACATAATACATGAAGAAAGCAAAAGATCATTAAAAAGACAGGAAAGACGGAAAAGCTCAAACTTGATGTCAGAAGAGACTCTGAAGCTTACTCTTGAACATAGACTAGCTAAAATGAATGGAAGAAATGATGAAGTAAAAGAGCTGAATGAAAGATTTCAAAGGGTGGCTCGAGAAGACAAAGTAAAGTACTATAATGAAGTGTACAAAGATCTGAAGTTAGAAAACCAAAAGGGAAGAACATGCTTGACATTTCCCAAGCTGAAAGAACTGAAGAAAAAATTCAGGCCTCACGTTGCAATATTGAAAGATTCTATGGGGGAAAATATTGAACAATGCAGGAAGCATCAAAAGAAGAGGAAAGAATACACAGAGTCACTGTACCAAAAGGATTTGGTCCACACTCAACCATTTCAGGAGGTAGTCTATGATCAAGAATAGACTGTACTAAAGGAAGAAGTCCAAGCTGCACTGAATGCATTGGCAAAAAAGATTCCAGAGAGGTGGAGGCAGCATGACACATAGACAGAAGCACCATGGCATCCTTCTGCAGCAAAGACCCGAAAAACTAAGTAAAACAGATACGAACATCAATCCTGGAACCCTAATCATCAAATGAAGGAATAAAGAACTCGATCAAGCATGGAATGGAATAAGAAACTGACAGAGAACAGAGAATGAGGAGAGCTACTGAGTGGAGGTCTCCTACCAGCTAAGGAGGTATAGATTTGCCATCTTCGACTACAACCACCAAGGAAAGCAGACAGGGAGTACAGGAAGGCAACTTCATGGAGCTCCCAACCAGAGACAGACCACCGGGTAACCAGGGATACACACTTTCCCACCCTCCACCCTTCTTCCCTCAACACGACCTCCACCACTTTCCAATGGGCCACAGTTATTCTCTCAGAAAGACTCAACCTCACTGCCCATTGAGTCTGCCCCACTCCCACCAGCTGGCTCCTTCAGCATAACTTATTTTTTTGTTGTTGTTTTTGTTTCTTCTCTCTCTATCCTTTCCTTCCTTTCCGTTCTCTAGTCCACCTAGCCCAGTGTGTCATCCCCGCCCTTTCTCAACAGGTCGTTCTGCATCATTTGGCTAGAAAGCCACCAGCACACAGACATTCTGGGTCCGTGCCGCCATCATCTACCAGCTTCCATCTGCCAAATTCTACTGGGTTGATATTTTACTTAATTTTTTCTTTTTTCCTTCATTTTTTTGCTTTTTTTTTTTTTTGCTTCTGCTTCTCTCTCTTCTATCTCTCACTCACTTAGCTCAGCACATCACATCCTCTCCTTCCCTCCTGCAAATCTGCACTGTGTGCTGAGCGCTGTGCCCTGAAGAGGCAAGAGCAAGGACCTCTTGACTCCAGAACCCCGCCTTGCACTGTTCCTCAACCCCAGACGTTGGCCTCAG